CTGCATGGCCGCCCCGCTGGCAGCAGGCCCCGAGCGGGCAGAGCTGGACAAGGGCAGGACAAGGGCGCAGCGGCCCTCCCGGGCGCCCAGCGCAGGCCCCGGCTCACCTCATCCGCCAGGCGCAGCAGCATCCGCAGGAACCTGGCCAGGTGCATCTGCCGGGCCGAGAGCTCGCCTCTGCCCGAGTAGTCGGTGCGGTACAGGGCCGTGGCACTGTCCACTATCAGCAGCGCGTAGCTGGGGAGGACAAGCACGAGGCTCTCGTGAACCCCTGCAGAGTCACCATTTTTAACAGCACCGCCCTGACCTGCGGTGCCAGGTGACTGACCGGACAACAAAACCCAGTAAAGAAAGTTCCTGCATGGCTAAAAGCGGCTCCATCGCACTCTTACAAACTAGCCCGGCTTCAGCGTTCCGACAGCGCAGCGGTTCTGCGGGCAGGCTCCCACACCCCTCGCACCCCCTCCTTCCCTCCAAGGCGCCCGTAATCCTCGGTTTCTGACTAAAGCCGCCCGCCCAGGCCGCTTCGGGGCTCGGCGCGCTCCAAAGCAGCGCTCTTCCTGGAAGCCACAATAAACTGAGCTTTAACACCGTTCCTCAGGCTGGCGCTTGGGCTCTGTAAAGTAACCCCGGGCGTCGCGGCTCACGGCGGCCGCTGTCACCCACCACCTCAAGAGCAGGAGGCACGAGCCGGCACTGCCAACACGCCCAGCTCGCCGTCCGGCTGTGCCGAAGCCCAGCCCAGCTGGGGAACAACAAAAGCTGACCCAGCGGAGCTCAGCACCGAAGCAAGGACGCAGCAAGAAAGTGAACTTCCGAAGTAAACAATTACTTTGACATTTCCGCTCGATCCGTGCCCCTCTTGCCCTCGTCCATCGCCTACAGGCAGCTTTAGAATAGGATGATGTGCTGGCCCAAAAATCCCCCCATCTGAATCAGGTTTATTACCGTGACTCAGCCATCATCGCAGACGCCTGGTACAGGAGCTGGGTCTGATGATCTGTGTTGAAACCTCGAGCGTACGCCACGTTGTCTAGGACATCGCTGCCAGACAAGCCATACCTGGAGGAAAAAAAGTAAATCAATCAATCTTTAAGTGACGGCTCCATCGACAGGAGTTATCCAGCAGGTTTACCTAAAGGCTAGGATAAGAATTCACATTCCTGGGACAGTCCTAGAGATGAAAACAGACAGCAAAAAAACCCGCAACACGACTTGGTGATGAAGAGAACAGAATGACTGGAAATCAGTTTTACAAGAGTATTTTCCTGCCTAGGAACAATAGCGAAGCGCACCCCCAGACATCTTCCTCAAAACAAAACCACAGGCACGGAAAGGACCACTCGGGGCAGAACATTCTGGAAGCAGTATGTTGCTAACAAAACAGCGACCAACAGCCTTCCACCTGCAATACCTCTCTCGGTGTTCTACGACCAAAAAAACCCCCAAAAAGGTGGTTACATCCAACCTCTTACATTTAAATTATTTATACGGCATTTTCAGAAATCCCTTTGAATTTGGAGAACCAGTTGATGATCCTCCTTGGATCTGACATGTAGGAATATCTTTTCCAGTGAGAGACCCTACATAACTTTTCCTTTCACAGAATTACACCCTTAGAAGCTGGAAGGGGTCTCTGCGGGTCAACTAGTCCAGCTCCCCTCCCCGCTCACAGCGGGTTGCTCAGGACTGCGTCCAGTTGGGTGCGGAACATCTTCAAGGCCAGGACCCCACAACCGCTGCGGGGAACCCGCGCGAACGTCTGGCCGCACTGAGCACTAAAACCTTCGCCCACCTCTTGCGCTCCTCAGCGCGTTCAACTCCACGCAGGCTTCAGCTTCCCGCCCCCCACTCCTGCGCCCTCGGACAGCGCCTCTGTACCCCTCCCGTGGTCACACCAAAACCCATCCGATGAAGAACGTGAATTAAGGCAAGGATCTTTCTGGTTTCACCATCCTGCTCTGCACAGCCGGGCTCCTAACGTCTCCCTCCCTAACTCCTGTAGAAATTAGGCTTCTGGGCGAAGCAGAGCTTTGACAGCACTTTCAGAATCACAGCTACCAATTAATTCTGCTGCCTGCACGTGTAGCCATTAATAAATCAAATAAGCCAACCTTACTAGGCTACTGGCGCCCTACGTTTGAAGGTGAGCGACAGCCCGCCCTGACCAGCGCTGGAAGCCAGACCACGCTGAAGCATTACACGTTCGAGAGTCACGCCACGGCTGGCAGTCAAGCACGTGCCAAACCCGCAGACTGCAGAAAGAAACGAGCTGAGACGCTTCGCCTCCATCCCAGCTGAGCTGCAGAAAAAGAGGGAGGGATGGCACTGACGGGAAGAAGCCCCCTCTGTGCACAGCCAGGCACAGACACCCTCTCACGGCTGCCGCAAACATTTCGCTTCCTCATCGGTGCCCGAGAGGTGCTCGTTGCCAAATACCCACCGGTGACGGGGACACAGGAGTAACCCCCCACTTGCTGCAGGAAAAGCTGGCAGGGTTAGATCCAGCTCGGCCAAGAGAGCGAGCAGGCTTGGCTGGAGCTGTCCCCAGCCCGTCGGGAAGCGTGCGCTCCCTTCCCGGAGCGAACTGTCCCTTCCTGCAGAGGGACAACCACACAATAGCTGTGGGGAGAGAAAAGCAGCAGAGGGGAGAGGAACAGCCACACCAGGCGTCTCCAAAGCGAAAATCTGTCAAATTGACCTCTAGGGCCTGTGTAAAATGTCTTCCAAAGATCTGTTGGCAGAGTTGGAGAAAAACCTTTCAACGTATTTCACTACCAGGAAATCCGCATTTGAAAGAGAGGTGAGTAAGAAGCAAAGACACCACACTCCAGGGGACAACGGTGTCAGCCGCTGTCACACCTTGAACTAGAGACCTTGTTGATAAGGCCCCGCGAATGTCACGTTCCAACACACACACACAGGTGGGCAGCAACCAGAACATGGAAAGGTTTTTGTTTGGTGGTTGGTTTTTTCAGGGACAATCCTTCCTGCAACAGCCCCATGACTTTAAGGAGAGGCTGATTCACACGGTGACCGACTGCCTACATTGTCCCAAGAGTAAACGTGTTCCTTCCTTCAAGCACCGCCAGTTTACTCCCAGGCCAGGTACAGACCTCTCAGCCACAGCGAGCAGACGTTCTGGACGGAAGGTCCCTTCTGTGTCGATATACATGGCTTTGCCTTCGCCACCACCGCGGTCAATGGGGAGCTGAAGGAAAAGCAAATGAAGACGAAACCAGTATCAACAAACAACCCAGTGATTGCCTTGCGCCCTCAACTGAGATCACACACTAAATAACATACCAAGCTATTGTGGGTAAAGTCACTTTTATCTGGGAGAAGTGAGGAGAAAGATTCCCGCGTTCAGTCTCCCATACCTACCTAAGAGGACGGGTGCTTAACTCCGAGCTGGTAAGTTTAGGGGCATAAGGGTGTTAACTGAAGGATCGAACAAAGGCCAAAGCCTCTCATTTTATGAAACAGCAACCTCTAGAAATTCATAAACACTGTCAGTGGTTTAAACTATGATCAAAAAAAAAACGTTGCCCCAAACTGATCCACTGTTTGATAGCAAGAGCCAACTGGAGGCTTTTACAGAAGTCAAGTGAAGTAACCGCAGGGTACGTTTGGAAACACACTGCTAGCCCAAGAAACTCGTCGAGCCCAACACTGTTTCTTCTCTTTTCAACACTTTGGTGACAAGAAAGGTTCTCTGGAGCCCAGAGCACCTGAAGAGAGATCGAATGCTTCACTGCATTTAAGACCTCGAATCATGCTGGAAGGCTAACGTGCTGAATGTTGCTGTCAGAATACTGAGGAGGGAATAAAAATGCAGCTACGGAACATGTCAAACACGGGCAAAAACCATCACAAACTTAATTGCTGCTAAACTAATCCTAGCAGGCAGATCAAACACGAAACACAAGATCCTAGAAAGCTGCAAGTACAGCCCAGGGTGCTGTGAATACTCACGTTCTTTGCAGCTGTTTAGATGGCTGAGAGAAGTGCACAAATCAGCAAACATCCAAAAGCTGTGCTGTCTGAATACTTGACTTTAATAAAGCAGAATACTCACTTGACAGGTCACTGCCAGGGTATGACACAACTGTGTTTTTCCAGTACGAAACTCCCCAAATAACTCTGTTATGGACCCTGTTTCTATTCCTCCTGAAGGGAAAATAATAATAAAAAAATAATTTTAAAAAGGTCACATGCTTCAGACGAAGACCTTGTACAACGTCTGACATTTACAGGGACTCAGTGAAACACCTACTTTGGTTAAAAGCTTCAAAACTCTACTTGGAAAACCAGGTTTTCATACTGAGGTTGCCCGTGCTGCAGCCAGGAGGCTTAGGCCAGCGCACGTTTGGAGAGGCTGAAAAGCTGAAAACACTTGTTCGGATTTTTTGATTCCCAGGGGGAACGGGGAGAAGACGATACCTGGGTTTGTCATCTCAAAATGGGTCATAGACTAGAATAAACTAGAAACCTCCAAAATGAACAGCTCTGGGTATTGCACCAGGACTAAAAGGTTCTAAAACTGTTTCTGCAGCTTTTAAAAGAAAACCAGTTGTGGTACAAGAGAGCAGTACTTGGGGAGATTTTTTTATTCAACCAAAACCTGTGCGTCTTGCGTGTTTTTGTGCAAGGATCACGCTCCTGGGGGGGAGAGTGCAGATAACTGGGGCTAATCAGCAAATAAATAAAATTACTACCTTGAAGAAGTTTATCAAGTTCTTTGGACCCAGTGGTGATCTGGATGATCTCTGACCTTCGCTGGTGGAATTCCGTTGCTGTGGTGAAACCCATCGGAACCAGTTTAGCTGCTTCTGCCTGAGGAAAACCAAAGTAAGCAGTGCAAGGAGAGCTCCTCCCACGCGTTTATACGTCATTTTGTGACATGGAGAAGCACCTACATAACTCGATGCACGCCTTTTATAGGCCATGTGTTCGGTGGGACCTCTGAGTGGAACTGAAATTCTGCTCAGAGAAAAACTGTCAACATCTGGTGTGTGTGTGTGATGGAAATCTTCCCCCCATCGTCACCCACCCTTGGCGCTCAGCTCTGTCCCTGTGAAACCCGCAACACTCGGGGCGGGCGCACGGCCTCCCAGGAACGCAGCCTTCCGAACAGCGAGTGACTCCGCGGAGCAAGGAAAGTCTTGGAGTTCGACCTGGCGCCAGGGCAGGTTTCGGTCGCGGAGAGCGCGTTTGGCAGCAACCGCCTGGCTGGAGCAGCCGCAGGCGGGAGAGGACAGCTCAGGCCTCCCTCCCGGCGCCCAGAAGCGAAGCCCAGGTCTCCTGGCGAACACCCAAGCGGAGGGGCACAGTTAATGCGCTCGAGAAGAACTTCACAGAAGAGCTGGGCCAGGCTGGGTGCGACGCTGCAGCGTCCTCTGCCTTGTCAGCTGCTGGCAGCGGCTGCGGAGGGAGGGAGAGGAACAAACGGGGAACAAGGGACCGACCCTCTGGCAAGTTGCTCCGGGTTCAGTTAGCGACCTTCTCGACCTGAGCCTTACCCACCAACGCTGCACCTGCCCCTTTTCAACCAACTGGCGCTACAGGTGGCCACCGTGTCTTGGGACAAGGAGCTCCACAACTTAATTACAGCCTGGACGAAAAGGTACTGCCGTGGCTCTGAGCTTACCGTCAGAAACACCGAGCTAGAAATAACAGTCCCCTTGGGGCTACTCTCCCTGCCTTCCACGATTTTTACAGACCTTTCCAACAGTCCCTCCCTCTTCACTTTTTGAAGCTGGTCCTAATGTTTCTTGTCTCTTCTCACCAAAAGTCATGCCACACCTCTAATCATCTTTACAGCCCTCCTCAGTACATCATTAACGGACACCTTCCAGAATCACCAGAACAATTTAAAACTTCTTGCATAACTTGGGTTAAAGCTTTTCCATAACACCCTTACCAGGATTTTGTCAGCTTTGGCTTCACTGATGCCTTTAATGTTTAGTAGCTCCTTCTTTGGTGCGTAAGCGACAGCCTCAACTGTGTGAAATCCAGCTTCTTCCAACTTCTTCACATCGTTTGCATTTATACCACATTGCTGAAAGGCAGGGGAGAAGGAAGGATGCACTAAGACACAAATACCTTAATCTGACTTCCACTGAATCCTTCAGCTGCCTTCCTCAGATCGGGATCAAACTCTGTTATTACAAGTCAGCGTACTGAGTGTTCCCTCCCCGCTCACTTACACACAAAACCCCATAAAAAATAACATCCTTTCGCCAGCGCCGTGTTTGTGTAAGCTGTTAACTGTACAGACGGCAGGGAACAGGCAGAAGATGTCATTCCCTGTTGGGTTTAACAGATGCTGGAGGTGGCCAATACACACCAGGAAAGGGTACACAGCAAAGCAACGTAACGTAAACTGAAGCTGTTACACCTTGGGGCTTTTGTTTTGCTTTTTGACGGAACACGAGATTCTAGCAACGCCATTTCCAGATACAACTTGTGTTAAAGGAAGAAGACTAGGAGATTTCTTGAAAACGTGCTCTAGAGCTCACTCCTTACCTACCTCCAACCTAGCTATGAGCTGCGGCCCAAAGCTCTCCTCCTCTGCCGACGTGTCTGCGTTTGCCTCGAACTGCGCCTGCATAGCCATTGCACCGAGGGTCCAGCACAGCCCCGCTGGAAGAAAACCAAGTAGCTCTGTGACACAACATGCAGACAGAATATATGTGCAAAGTGTTTTGAAATACGTTAACAGACCACCCAAAGTAGTGCGTGATGGTTTCCTCCCCTCCCATATCTCTCAGCTCGTGGTACACGAGCGCTGTAAGAACTACCTTCGGGGTGCTTTCCTCTGCAGCATGAAACGCTAAAACCCAAAACCCCAAACAACTCTGGTGTTACCTGGTAAGGAATAAGGAGAGGTTTAACAGAGAGCCCCACTGTATTTAGGAGCATGCTATAACGACGCTAATTCGCTGCTAGCGGCATCTCCTAGCAAGAAGTCAGGCGGTGAGGCTGGAAGGTGACCCTCGCTGGCCCAGCCCGCCTGGCCCAGCCGGCCGCCTGC